GGGGGGGCGGGGGGGTGCTGAGACCTGGGCCCGGGGCACTGGGGGCTGCAGCCCCTCTCTGCTTCCCTGCCACCCACCGCTGCAGCACAGCACCCATCCCGGGACAACGTGCTCTTTCCAGGGGACCGTGCGGGGCACCAGTGTTCCCTGCACCTATTTATATTTTTGAACATATCCTATTTTGAAAGAATGATAAATAATAAAGAGAGTGAAATTGGAACGGGCACTTTCTCGGCTGCATTTTTTTTGGGGAAAGGAGGTGTCTGTGTGGGCCAGGGAGAGGGGTCTCCCATGGCAAGGCAGTGGGGAAGGAAGGGGAGCTCAAATAGGGTGCTCCAGGCTACATGGGACTGGCGCAGCCCCAGCCAGCACCCAAGGGTGTATCTCTGGGGACAACAGAGGCATGGGGACTAGACAACCTTTAAAGGTCCCCTCCACCCCAAACTATTCCATGATTCTATGATTCCCAAGCCCCAACCAAAGAAGGACCCTGGGACAGGACATCACCTTCCCTGTTCAGCCCCTGCCCCAGGAGAGGTTTAACCCACATGCCTAAAACCCATCACCAGCAGCAAATGCTTCACCCTCCAGTTTCCAGTCCTGACACCTGAGGGGGGAGGGGCAGGGAGGGGGGTGTTAATTAACATTCATTAATGAGCTCCCTTGCAGGGGCTAAAGGTGGACACAGCACTGAGGTGGTGGTGATGCGACGATGCTCAGCCAAAGATGAGACAATCCCAGGTGTCCAGCCAGGGATCCCCAAATCCTCTCTCTGTGGCAGACCCCTCTCTCATGCTGGGACAGAGATGGGGACACAGCCACATTGCTCCAGGCTTTTCTCCACTGATTTATTAGAAGAGCTCCAGGAAAACACATCTTTTCATAACCAAACACTCAAAGAAGAAGGCACCAGAGTTCAAGTGGAGTCCAGGCAAGGGGCGCATAGAGATAAGGCACTGGCACTCCCAGGGGGACAGGCACAACGGCATCCTTCAGTGGATGGGGCTGGAAGAGGGGCTGGGGTGCAACAGAGACACTCACTCTGCCTCTGGCCAAATCCAGCCTTGCCTCGCTCCCACCCCACAAGCTCAGGAGTGGGACCAGCCTGGAAGGGCAGGCGGGTGATGGTGTCCTGCTGCCACCGCGGGAAGGGGCCAAGCAGGGTGGCAGCAGCCCACACT